AGGTATTTTGACTGGAACAGAGAAACAAAATCCTTAAAATAATTTATGAATTCCAGTGTGTGTGTGTGTGTGTGTGTGTGTGTGTGGTGCCTGACATAGTGCAGTTATCTTAAATAGAAATACTCTGTGTTTCAAAATAAAAAGGTAAACAAGAACAGTATTTTGAGGGCAAATTTCAGTCATTAATTTACTCTACAAATGAGTATCCAGCACCTTTTTATGTGCAGATGTTCTGCTAACTGCAGCGATACAACAGTGAACATGACACTGTCTTTGTCCTTTAGGAGCTTAAAAAGTTCAAGAACACAAGGAAGAAACAGACTGGTTATAATTCATTGTTAATGAGGCTGAGTGATCATGGGATAAGAATAATGCTTTATTATACAAAGTGTTTTGGAGTTGAATGCATACACACACACATACTATATATCTGTCTGTCTACCTATTACATAAAATTTGGAAATAATTGGCCATATTTTAGTGAACATTTTACTCATTTTGATTACTAAACTATAAGGTGTCACTTGAGAAAAGTTAAATCACAGGTTGGTATCTAGTTGTCCATAAAAATTAATTACCTCTAAAAATTGAGAATGATAGATTTCCTTCTTATTAAGATAAGGTCAATGGTTTCACAAAGCATAATTCTAGCTAGTCAGAAAACTGAAGAGATTCTCTTTTGAAAATCAATTTGCATAGGTATCTCTGTGTTATGCATAGCCTGAATGATTTTCCCTAGAGGTAAAGTCTAAGATGAAGACAGAAGCCAGCAAGAGACGCTGAGAATACACATCACTGAAGATTGCTTATAGGGTTATCTGGCAAAAATATGTTTGTCCTCAACAGTTAGTAATATTTTGAAACTATCTGTCATCATGGCTACCTATTATGGTAATATAAACTGCTCTATTAATACTTCTGTTAAGATTAGGCATTCATGTTTATTCTAGACATCATTAGAGAAAGGTGCAATACCAAATAAACTGTGAGATGTTGATAATATATTAGAAACTGGTTTGTGTAAATCTTATTCCAAAATGCAATCTTTGTGAATATTGAGTTACAGAGAAATCACATTTTTTTTCCAGGATATAAATGGACTTTATTATCAGGATGACTGACATAAATATTACTGTGCATCTGTGCTATTGTTTCTATGATCTATAAAATTCTTGAAAAGTTATTACGGATTAATGTGGATCATCTATTGTGTTCATGTGACATAAACACATTTTACCTTAATAAGGCATAGAAAATGTTCTCTTAATTTAAGAATGTAACTAAAATCTAAAATTTGATTTACATTTACAACATGAAGAGGGAATTAATTAGGTAATTTGAATGCTGAAATGTCTGATACAGAAATGTAGTTCAGCTAAAAAGTAGGTTTGGGATAAATAATAGTTTTCCTATTCTTCTCTTTGATAAAATGTATCAGAATATAAAGGTTCAGAAGGTCACCTTTTTTTAAAACAATTTTTTAAATGAAGGTAGGCAGACTTCAGCCCAAACCCATCAGTGTACTAATGTTAACATTAAATCACAGTGTTAAAGAGAAGAGCATAATTACTGAAAACTACAAAACTGGGTCAACTTAATCCTTTGGTTGGATGACATGCTTTCATATTTTGGACAAACTAATCTTGGAATCCCAGCTGTTGGAAGCATCTGCTGTAGAAATGTAGAGGAAGACACGCAGTATGTCATCTTTACCAGCTAAAAGATGAAGAATGCTGTATTAGCCTATTTGCACAGATTGTCATAAAATCTCAATATTCCTTTGGAATTTAATTGTTTACCAACTTTTCAAGAACTCAACCTCCAAAGCACTCAATCATTAATAAGTAAAATTATGCAAATAACAGACTTTTTTGGTCAGTGATCATTTTAGTTTCAATCTCTTCCATATTGATTAGATAATTATTATATAGATTCATGTCATCAATTTTGCTAACAAAACAAGTTGAAAAGAGGCAGGCTCACTCTCATTTAGAATTAATAAAGATTCTTTCTCACGACCTCAAAAAGAAAGATTCTGCGTGTGTCAGCAGAGTATTCAGAAGTTATTTACTAACATGCATTCACTTTCAAAATATTTATTGTAAGAAGCTCCATGCAGTTGTTCATGTTAGGCAACTGTGAACACTACAGTCACTATAGGAAATTAAATAGAACAAATAGATTTTTAAAAATGGAGCTACTGTGATCTTATGTCTAAACCTAAACCAATGTAAGTGATCAGAGAATATTTTCATATGATAACACAGAAAACCAATTAAATTTATTTAAAACATTGAATTAATTCAGGAAGTTGACTAGACTTGTAATCAGTGCTGAAACTTTTCTAATACCTAATTAGCTAGAAAAGTAGTACACAGACTTGTTTCCAATTCATTTACTAGCACAATCTGTAAAGGCATTTTCAATTAGCTATATTTTCTTTGAATTTCTAAAACTTTTCATAGTTAGTTAAAGCTTTGGGAATAATGGTAAATGGTTATAGCTTTGGTGAATTTTTTTCTGTTTTTTTTTTTTTTAAAGAATTTTCATGTCTTGAAAAAGAATTTTTTTTAAAAGAAAGTGGTTAACAATAATAATCTATCTAACAATCAAATTCTGTTATTGCTGGCAAATAGAGTAAAATTATTTTGGGAGGAGAGAGTTAGAAGTAACTTCTCTGAGTGGGAAATATTTCCCTTGTAATTATGATAAATTTAGACAACATTTTATATACTTTCCAGTAACAATGGGATCCAGAGATGAAGAGTCCTTATGAAAAGGGGAATTTGGAGATAGAGTAGCACCCAAGAAGAACATTATGAGAACATGAAGATGGCCACCGACAAGCCAAGGAGAAGGCCTGGAAAAGCTCCTTTTTTCACTGCCCTCAGAAGGAATGCACCAGGCAGAACAGCTGCTCAGTGACCCCACTGAACTGAATGGTTCACTGGACACCTCCTCACCTCACTGTATGCGTCCCACTCTCTTCCATCTTTGCCTGTCATAAGAAGGTTCTGTATATCAAATGTTGAGTTGAAGTCACATTAATGAAGCCCACCTTCTACCATCTGTCTCTCTCCAACCTTTTGTCATAACCTTTTGCCACTATTTGTTAACATATTTTTAACTACCACTAGACTCTGAGGACCTAATACTTACCTTCCAATTTGGAACAGCTACGATTTAGAAAGTCCCCAAAGTTATGTAAAGTAAAGGAAATAAGGAGGGAGGCAGAAGAGGGACATTTTTGTGTAGCAGGAGGAAGGTGAGATATGAGGGAGGATTAGCATAACACAGTGAGGTGAAAATTATAAAAACCAACGATACCCCAAATTCCAAAATTCTCACTTGAGTTTATATAAAATGGTAATTATTTATGAAAAGCTTAAGTTCTTTTCTGTATCTACCCAAACTCTTAAAATTCATTATATGCATTTTTGATAGAGCTGTTTATAATATGCAGTTTTCTCTTTTATCACAAGGAATAGCACTGACCCTCATAATCAGATTATTTAATTTACATATGCTATAAAAGAAAACAGAAAAAATTCTAAAGTCATCCAATGCCTTGGCCTTTCCAGGTAATGGAGCGCTATCACACAGGTAAATCGTTTATCTCATGACCACCCTAAGCCAACCAGGTACTTGCAGTTGAGAAAATCGAACTTCAGAGAGGTTAAGAGGGGCAAGTGCCTTGGAGCTCTCAATAAATTGAAGGAAAAGGTGAGGTAAAAGGCAGAAATACTAGATTTGCTCTTTTGAAAATGCTTCCGTGGGAGGAATGCAATCTTAATCAGCAACAACAAATACTTATTCAGCATTTACCTCTTGGAACCCAGCTCTGTTTTTCCTGTGATAGAAATTTTATCAGAAGAAAGAGCAGCCATCACTTCACAGCACTTGAGACAGCAATTTTTTGAGAGATCTGGGCCTTTCCAATAATTTACTCCCTGAACACTTTTAAATTTGGGGTAGCAGGAATAGTAATTATTAACTGTTTAACATCTAATACAGCTAGCATACTCTTTTCTTGGTTAAACATATGCTACAGTAAAGAGTTTCCTTCCATGTGGGCATATAATTTGGAGGGGTCTTAGAAAATTAATGGGTATTCATTCAGGAATAACACACACTCGTCTCCCTCACCCAGCACCTTCATGTTTCTCCTGTCTTATCTGCCAACTAGAGTTCCCATCCACACTGGCTTCTTTTGTCTACTTGGCTTTACCTTTTTTAAAAAATAATATGTTTTTATTGATTTTTTTTAGAGAGAGAGAGAGGTAGGAAGTGGGGGGAAAGAGAAACATCACTGCAAGAGAGAAACATTGTTCAACTGCCTCCTCCATGTCCCCTACTGGAGATAGAGCCAGAAACCAGGGTATGTGCCCTGCCCAGGAATCGAACCAGCGACCTTCTGGTGCATGGGATGATGCTCAACCCACTGAGCCACACTGGCCAGGGCACTGGCTTTACTTTTTTCAGATGCTTTATGTGGCCATCCTTCTGCTAATTTTAGGACACCTAGAGGAACATCTTCTTAATCATAGAACCATGAGGAGAGGGATTTAAGAGACCTTTATATCCACTGCCATTTGGATTACAACAATGAAAATACTTGTTGCATCCGAGTACTGCATTGTAGATAATTTCAGACTCTTTTTCTAAAGCACAATTGTAATGGTTTATATTACCTTGGCAATAAATAAGGAAAGGTGTTATAGAATCTAACAATTGTGGCATCTTTGCTTTGATGACATATTCTTGGTTGTATATATATGATTTATTTGATAGCAAATACATTTTTATGTCAAATAAATGTGATCTAGGAATAAAACTTCCATTCATAATTTGCCCTGAAGTAAAAATGAGACTGATTCACCCACAATATGTATCGTGACTGCTTTCTGCCTTGTTTGGATAAAAAGCAGAGATTTCTTCTTATGCTGACTTACTGTCTCAGGACTGAACACTGGGAAGAAAGTGATGTGCAAGAGACTTACCCACTCTTCCTCATCGTAATCTGAATGATGGGGAATGGAGTCCTGCCTTCTCATTGGTGGGGGTAGATCCTGGGGACTGCTCTCGGTGCTGCTCTTAGGCGAGGGTGGCTTTTTAAGGATGCCTCCTGGCCTGGCAGTGTAAAGTGCTAACAGAGCGCTTCTGACCAGCTGATCCTTAAAAGCATGAACAAAAAGCTCTGTCTGGAAAGAAATTGACAAGGATTAGAAATACCATGGTAGGCATCTCAGCATAGAGCTATGAAAAGGTCAACTGCAGATTTGTTGGCACTTAAGAGAAAATGATTCATACCAATCAATGGAACATAGTTTGGTTTGGGGATGTTGCCAAGGCCTTGAGTCCTACTGCTCTAAAAGTCAATGCCGAGGTTCCATGTGCGCTATCAGCACCATCTGTCGCCTCAGCCCCTCACTTTTAGTTCCACATTCTATCTTTGGAGATGGATTTCACTGGGAATAATCATTCGAAAACCATCTACCTTTCAAGTAATTCCAAATAGAGCTTAATGGAAAATATCATCAGATTATAGATAATCTACATTTTAAACAGTGTTAAAAGCTAAAGAAAGACATGTCTTTTAGAGGCAGGAGACTTGGTTTTTACTAATTTCAACAGTAGAGATGAATAAGCAGACTTCCCATGAAAACATGTGGCTTTTATTCCTTATTATCATCCCCTAATTGTCTCCTCCACCAAATGGTTTCGGTAGTGCTCGAGGTTAGCGAGGTGACTATAAAACCTACCATGGAGGGTTTTACAGGCTGATGGTAAATAACCTAGTGAGCACTCGAATAATGACAGCTTCCCAGCGATAAAGAACTTCACAGCTGTACTTTTCAATTTCCCAATGAAATGTTTAATAGCTTCACCCCGTAATATACCGGAGGGGTAGTGATTGATTTTCTGTGTCATAGTACACTTAGCATGCACATGGGCTCACAATCTGTTCAAAGAGTGGAGAAGGCACTCACGCACTGACCCATATTGTTGTCATATTTATCCTTTGTAATCTCTTAGGAAGGGGTCCTTTAAGTCACAGCATTATTTTCAATAACAGTTGATCTAATTACCATTTAATGTGACTCTTGACTACAATGCTGACTGCACTAGAGCTGTAAGTCTGGGTACCTGTTTATTGTGCCCTCTCATGGTGCAGTCAACACTGCCATGTCTAACTGGTGGTTACTACATTGTCTCTGTCTCCTGTTGTGTCCATGCAATTAAAGAAAATCAGGGGCCTAGTAAGATGACGTCATATCTGTATAGCTCTTCTTTACAATAGATCATGAAATTCTAGAACTGAAATGGACTCGAAAGTGGACCTCTTCATTAACCAGATGAGGAAACTAAGAAACCAGTGTGGTGACCTGTCCAAGGCAGACTGTGTATTAGCAGCACAGATGGAACAGATCCCGTTTTCTGACAAATTCAGTAGCTTTTCCCCTTACTCCACACCACCGCCCAGTCACTGCAACTGGAGGTTTCTGACCTTCCCCTTCTTCCCAAACTCCAACTCCCAAAGTGTTTTGAACAGCTACCAGCTCTCAGAATTAATTGTGTCCACAATTGCCCATGTAGCTATCTTTACTGCTGAACTTTATTGGATGTTTTAAACACTCTTTTAATCTAGAGGCACTTTAAAGGGAATTAGACAAGAAATACGGAAAAAGATTATGTAAGAATAAGGATTGGAAAATATTTTTATAATAAACTAGGAAATCAAAATAAAAAGCACCTTTTTAATTAAAAAATAACACTTGAAAAAATTGGCTTGACAGTATTCAAACCAGTATAGTTATAGCAAAATGGGGAAATACGTTGTTTACATAATTTTCCATATAGAAAAAATATGTCTATCAATGTTAATTTAAGTATTAAAAATGTGAATTTATTTCCATTCAACTTAACTAGACTATTTCTCTGTTGATAATTTCAATAGCAACTTTTGATTTATTTTTAGAGCAAAACAGCTTGCCTTCTTTGAATTCCTGCTACTACATCTCTAGTCCTATACCACTCACATAATTACCATGTAGCTAAATATCTATTCACATGCAATGAAATTTTATATGGTTCTTATCCTTGCAATCATTTTCTTCCCATAGCATGCACACACTTCATTTATTCAAATCTCATTTGGGTTGATTTATGACCAAGTCCTGGGAGATTATACAGTAGATTCTTATAGTTTTACAACTCAGAAATTTTGGGTTGTAATATAATATAATACACAAAATACTAAGAGAACACAATAATAGCTGATCTTTTACTTTGTGTTTATATGAAAAACTTATCTGACTCCTTGGAAACTCTCAAAATCCTATATGTAGAATTGCATTCTGTTAGAAAATAGAAAATAATCTATTCACATGACCTGGAAACAAATCTTAATTTTCTTGAGCAGCATTACTTAGTATAGATCAATGAAGATCCTGATATTTTACAGTCAAATAAATAAGCTCATAGATATTAATATAGTCCACAGAATTCCAACATGCCTGTATTTTGTTGTTCTTGCAACTGAGAAGATACTAGGGAAGCTAAAAGTCATGGCTAGAGTGTGATCATGTCTCTGAGTTGCCTGTTGCCTTGGAGTTCTGATAAGCTATTTTGTTTTCTGACTCAGCTCACATTACATTAAGTTAAAAAAAAAAAGGTTGTCGAAATGTTATCATAAGGGTAGGCAAAACAATTGTCTTAAAGTATCAGTTCAATAATATACTAAAAAGCATAAACTTAAGCAAAGGCAACCCATTTCATTTGTTTGATATTTTAAAGAGAGAAATGTTATCTGAAAAATGTAATGTTTTTCTGCCTTACTGACATTTCTCCAATTCATATTCTCATATATATTTTCAAAGTAACTTGAATTATCAGCAAGTATAAAAGTACTAAAAAATATTTACCCTGGGAATAAATTTCCTAGTTTCCTGACTATCAGTGGCAGAGAAATAGTTAGGATATGTTCATTTAAAATGACTCTTTTTAACTAGAAATTTCAACAAATTAATCAAAGTCCCCTTCTATTTGGAATGACCTTATTGTCACTGAAAAAATTCCATCTGCAATACGGAATTAGCCAAAGGAATAAACAAGTGACCATAATTTTAGTTGTCATGTATATGGCAAGAAAGCATCCTGTTTGTTTTTAAATTTGATATGCTTTAATTATTCTATAGGGCATTGGGAAATAGGCAGCATAGAGAGATAAACTGTATGATCCTTCTAACTATCTAGCTTACTTCCAGAGGCAGTTTCCAGGCACAAGGAGGAAGAAGCCACAGATGAACTTCTCCAACTGAGGAAACAGAGATTAGAGCTTGGAAAAGCCAAAGGGGTTAGTGAGAATTCACAGAAAAGAGTACCAGAAAGGAGGGAACTGCACACAGAAAGAGCCCTGATGATCTGTAAATGGGTGCTTTTCAATCTTTACCTGAGTACTGACCTGCATGTGCGAGGATTCGGGGTCATAGGGCTTAGAATAGCTCATCTTCCCACCAGCACAGTGGGCTTTGTAATACACACGGCACTGTGTAGAGCCCTCAGAAGGGTACGGCCCAAACAGTGGGGCTAAATTAGTCCTAGGTGAAAGGCTGCTCTGGATCCTGCTCTAACGGGGCGTAAAAATAAGGCTTGAAAGGATCTTACTGATTGCTAATAACTTAACTTCACACTAGCACAAAATCCAACATTATTTAAGGAATACAATAAAATCCAGCAACCAAGAATGTAAAATACAAAATTCCTGTTATTCCATAGAATATACCAAGCATACAATGAAGCAGAAAATTTCGACCCATAATTAGAAAAAAACACACAGAGATTTTATCTCCCTTCCAACTGCCTGCTTCCTTGCTGATGCGGAAACTACTGACCCACACGGGCAGCTGATCAAGGTTTGACTGCTACAGGACCTTCCTAGAGTGGCAGAAATAAGGGTCTGCCATCTTGCCCCCACACCACAGGCACAGCAGGAAAGAGGAAGTCACCCTGAAATGGAAAGTTCTGCAAGCCTGCTTTAAAAAACAAAAATCAAACAAAAAAACAAACCCTTTTCGCTCAAACTTGCAAAAGTGTCCATTAAGTCATTAGTAGCAAATTCAATCAATTAATTAAAAAATAGAAGACCATTCTTGGGGCATGGAGTCTGAACCACCAGCAGCATGGTTAGGTAGAAATGAATCATACTTTATTTTAAATCATAAGTTACACATTGTCTTCATAGACTATGCAAAACTCTGTTAACTGGGATAATTATTTGAACTTCCAGTAAAACATTCTTAAAATGAAAATGCATGGCTTGCAAAGCTAAAAAGATCCTCCTGGTTTCAAGGGCTGACAGATTTATTAGTAGACGAAGCATGTCTACTCAGTTAAAAATAAAAATATAGGGGAAAAAGTTGAAGCGATGCTGAATTAAAGGAGGAGAAAATACGTGCCCTGTCCCCCCACCCAAGTCACTGCAGCAAGTTGTAAATGATGTGTGAAATGACAAGCCCCTGTCCAATGCACAGGAAGAACATAAATACTGCTCTGTGATCACTGCAGTGATGTGCTACATACTAACATTTCTGCTTAGGTGAATCCAAGAAGCCTCACCTCCGTCCAGAAATTCCAAAAAGAACTGAACCAAAATGAAATTACATTATTTTACGGTGTATAACGCTTTCCTCTCCCCCGCTTCCCTTTTCCCTGGCCATAATATATTTATTGATAATTAGATATATTTATTGACTATCAGCATTGCTGATGAGTTTGTCTAAAATTTTCTTTGTAATTTTAAAAATGTAAAAATCAAAATGCATATATTACATAGAGGATACCGGAAAGTTTCCTCCCTCCCTGGTTTTTCCCGTTTTGTGCTATGGCCTGGAAACTGCCTCTGGAAGTGAGCTAGACAATCAGTATGTACCCACCATTTCAAGGTAAAGTAAAATAACACCAGTCACGAAGCTCCTGGCACAAGATTTGGCGAAGTCGGTACTTGTAAAATTTGGGTCAGTTTTTCCCTCCCTTGTCATGATGGAGGCACCTGATCTGACATAGAAGGAATGCTGCAGTGTGAACTGGAAGTCTTAGGCTTTGACTTTTTAACTTTTTAATTAATTAGACAATTCACTTGACCTTTCTGAACAGGTTTTAGCTAATTTTTAATACAAACAGATATTATTTATATCCTATGAGAAAATCATAATTATGTATTCTTTAAACTAAAATGTTAAATAAGTAAAAAGTATTATTATTATTATTATTATTAATTAGCATATCTGAATAAAAAATATACACCTATCATATCCAGGTTTCTATGAATCTGTTCTTTAGGGCTGCAAAAAACTACACTGTTATTTTATTCTAAAACTAGAGGCCCAATGCAAAGATTCATGCACATTGAAAGGAAATTAATTAGAAGAAATATTTTAGAGGCCAAGGAGGAACTTGAGAGATTATCCAGCCGGGGAGCGGGGAGGGACCAAGGAGGGCTCCAGGGCATGTCCAGCCTGTCTCACCCAGTCCCGATTGGCCAGACCCCAGCAGCAAGCTAACCTACCAATCAGAGCATCTGCCCCCTGATGGTCAGTACACGTCATAGCAAACGGTTGAACGAATGGTCTGACACTTAGCATGTTAGGTTTTTATTATATAGGATAACACCATGAGAACTTTCTTTGGTCAGTTTCTTCAAGGACATATTTACTGAAAGGATCTCATAATAAATTGCAAGGTGTCCTCAGAATGCAGAGGTTAAGGATAATAGTATTGGAATTGGACACCAGGACACCTGGTTTTATATTTAAAATCAAACTGCAATTTGTCTTTTTCTACCTTGGTTCTCTCTGTGTCATTTAGTTGCCCTAAATAGTTATGGAATTGATGTAGTACCTACCTTTGCCAGGCTACCTGTCCTCTCTGCATATAAGGTTCAAGTCACCCTTAGAAAAATGAAGGCTTAGGTCCCACTAACATTTCAAACAATAACTAATATTTTGGGGAAATTTTAGAACCTTTTCCCAGTAGATAGTGTTGAAAGTGAATCAGGCATAGAAATTACCCCATGTCACTGATAAGAATACACATCCAAGTCCTGTTTTCAAATGAAGTGAATTCCCATTTAAATGTATAGCTTCATATGCATATAATTTAGGTGATCACCAGAGGAAATAACTTTCAAAATCTAATTTATTTGACAAGGCCACGAGCCAAAGAAAATGAAGGATGTCAAGGAAAAGAAAAAAATATATACCAACCAATAACAGGTTTCATTTCCTACAAGGAAAAAAAAAATCAGTGCTCAGTTAAGATTTGAAAAGAGAATGAGGCCAATTCAGTTTGATCCTGTGGCAATACTCTGAAGCTTACTTTTTAACTTAGTCTATTTTACATTTCCAGGTGCTAGGAAAGGCAATGTATGCATAAAGCAACACCCATGTGGATTGGGGTATTTCATTTTCCCCACTGTAGGAATGATTTGGGTCTTACTTTTTCTGAAAGCATCTTTAAAGAATTCTTCAAGCTGTCTGGAGAATGCTGGCTTGCAGAATTAAGCAGTAGGTCTGCATGGGTTGCTATCAGAGGTTGTAGTTGATTAATGTTGCTGAGAACTTCCTTTGCTTTGGCTGTGTTTTCAGGTGAATAGTAAATAAACTGGTAGCCAGTACTACAACAACAAAGAGAAAGGCAAGTTACACACAAAGCAGAAATAATTTGCAGCCCTTAATATCAGATGGCAAATCATAAACATAAGTCCATATGTCATTACTTCCTATTGAACAGATAAGAACTATTCTAAGAGATTTTTACAATGTCCTAAGAAGAGTTGTTGTTGTTTTTTTTAAGTAAAATGAAGAAGGTATTTGCTAAGACTAGGTAAAATAAATCTAGTTCTCACTCATATACTAGGAACATTCTTTATGTTTACATATATAAAGTAATAACAATCAAAACAAATTAGTGTTAGTATTAATTATTAATAAACTTGAGGTCACACAGCACAGAGGGAAAAGACTGAATATAAATCCTGGCTCTGGTACTTACTAGCTGGGTGGCCTTGAGCAGCCTCTGCTTCCTCATGAGGGAGGTGGGCATAATTATCTGAACAATTATTTATAATAGGGGGGTTAGGTTGGTGATCATTCGTGGCAAGTGCCTAATAGAGTGCTTGACACAGAGCAAGCAGCCAATAACTACTACCTATATCTTCCCCCATGATACTTGGGACAAAGGGAGTAAATTTTAATGGCTGAGAAATGAATTTAATGCCAAGTGGGCATATGGAGAATTTTATTGTAGAGAAAAAGGGCATTTCCAGCAAAAAATTACATTATGCTATTTTATCATCACCCTTTTTGTTCCTGTGGTTTTTCATTTGTTATAAAAAATCTAAAATTGATTTCTGCCTTTTATAACCATCATCTAGGAATTGGTCAAGCAGGTTATGTTATGGGGGTAGGAATTCCATGGAGGGAAGAAATCTTTGGCCAGTTTTATTAGGAAAGATAAAGGAGGCATTCCAGCAGGGAAAGGAAGAAATAGCAAAGCATTAGGCAAAGGGGAAAAAGAGAGAAGTCATGGTTGTTGCATTCACAGGGTTGGTGCAAAGCATGCTTACATCCCTTTGTATCCAACTGACAAAGCATTTCTCACAATACCTCGTTACTATGTTGGGTACTTATTGAATATTTTCTCTATATTTACCAGTTACATTATTAAAATTCCCATCATTCCATTTCTTATTTTGAAATATTAGAACCCAATAAGAAAAATTCACATCTAGGAATCACTGTCCCCTTCCCTTTAAACACTAATGATTTTCAGGAGGAAGTACCCATTTCTTCAGGGAAATATTATTATTTTGTAAACATATAATGGCTATCATGCTAGTTATTTAATTTTTTTCTTGCATGCTAATGAAGAGGAATGTCCTTGGTTGCTTGGACTATTCCTACGACAGGACAAGAAGTCAACGAAGGGCATAGGTTTATGAAGAAAACACAGTGCTAATCTGTGACACTTAGGGGAATTTGCTCTCAACTTTGCATGTGACTGAAATTTCAGAAGCAGAATATTAAAAATAAAACATACCTTACTTACTTATCATATATATTTTAATGCCAATTAAAGCCCTAGACAAATAACAATGGTGAGGAGGAGAAAGGAAATGATGTTCCTGTCAATTTTTTGTCTTTTTCTGGCTCCCCCAATCTTGGGCAGGAGTGTGCTAAGGCCCTTAACAAAAATCATCTGTACTCAGGTTTGGTACGAAGTTCAATCTACCGCGCTCTTTAGTAAATCAAACAACCGGGTGTTATTTTTGTAAAGATAATGATTATCTAAAGATATTGATGGGGCACCAGGGTGGGGCTGATGTTTGATGCCCAGCAGCTCTGACAGGAGAGTGTAAGGCTTACTACCCACCCGACACAGCAGGCAGAGTGTAGTGGCTGCTCCGCGACCCCTTTCCACTGATCTGCTCCTCTGGCATTACACTTTGCTGTCTGGTGTCATCTTATGGGTACTGACAGGCCTCCCACGACCTAGCTCTTGCTTGGAACGCTAGCCTTCTCAAGGTCATGTGCGCGCTTCCATTCTTCTCTTCACATAACTGTCCTCTTGTTGAGGATGGCATTCCTGGCCTCTCATACAGTCACTCCGTACATTATTTTTTTTCTGTGTATTTCTTACTCTGCAGATTCCCTTAGTGTCTCCTCTCCATTTGAATCAAACATGCACATTTACAAGATTTATTTCTCAAGTGTTCATTTCTTCTATCCTAGTTCAGCTGTGCTCAAATTTTAGCGGGCATATGATTGACTAGGGGATGAGGACAGGGTCTGGGTGTTAGAAGTGCAGATTTCCTGGCAACGCCAGGCGGTTCTGCGCCAGTAGGTGGTAACATTTGTAACAGAGGGAAATCCCGATGCAGGTGGAGAGTAGAGCACTGGCAGGGACACCTGCTGTCACTGTTTTGACCCTTATCCCCTCTGAACCCTTGATCTTCTACACAATAATTCTGATAAAAGTTCAGTAATCTTACCCTAAGTTCCTCATCCCGAACTAATTTTAATTTTCACAAACCTTTTATGAAGCTACTTTTGCACTCCATTTTTACATTTAGCACAAGATGCTTCAGTTCCTTTTCCATTACCAGCGTTGCCTCCCCTAATTTTTGCACCATCCCTTCATCATTTCCCTCCCAATATACCTCCCACCCACTTCCTTTCCTCCCCTCCAATACATTCCTCAGTCACCGTCCTGGGACATTAATCAGTATAACCCTGCCCCTGCTCCTAAGTTGGTCTGTCGGAGTGTAGTTAGGCAGCAGGCATCGCTTCTCCCACTTTGGCCCCATAATGATGAGCACCTTACCTAGTGAGGCTGAAAGATTCATTTGCCACAATAAAAGCCAATGTTGGTGTCCAGGGTGAAATAGTATGGTATGGAAAAAAATATCACCACCACAAAATAAGTTTAAGTAGACATAAATTTCATCTACCTATTCAGTGCCTGACTCTTAAACATGTCATATATTTTCACAGTTATAGCTTCTTAAATGGAAAGGTATGAGTACAATTTAATTATTGAGATAAAAAGAATATAGCAAAACTCTGCTTTATAGTGGTCTGAAATTTAAACTGAATCCAAACACTTGAATTAAGTATCAATCAGACAAAACCAGCAAAACTACAACATATCTGCTTGGACAAAAAAATATTTTATAGGGTGTAAGTAATATAGCAAATCATAGATTAGGAAAATTGAAATGGGCTTCATAATAGTTTTCCACTAGTAAAACAATTAAAGTGTATATATGTAAATATGTACATTTTAGTTTCTATTTATTTAAATTCTTTAATATCATTTAATTAGAACACACACATATTCACATGTAGGTGTGTGCATGTTGTTATGGGGGTGTCATATTTTGGAGATATAAAGAGAAATAAAGCAGGTAGTGAATTAATATTCGTATTCATATACTCTAATTAGTACCAGGATACAATTTAGACAAGGACTGTATATCCTGAGCGAACATCCCACTTGGGTTGCTTTTCGCTGGTCCTCCTGCATCCCCATCCTCTAGCATTGACTTGCTTCAGGGCTCAGTCCTTGGAACTCCTCCTTTTAAAAAAATCTTCATGTCCTTCCTAAATAACCTCATTTAATCTGGTGGTTTAAACACCTCAGTTGTGCTAATGACCCCCAAATTCACATGTCTAACCCAAATCTATTTTCCTGAACTCCAATTAAAAACAAAAGCCCTCTACTCGGGAGGCCCTGTGTTAGCGAGAGGCCAGCTGAGTTGCCAACGTGGCGTACCTGGTCCCACACTTGCACAAGGTGGATGAGACCGTCCTTTCCGAAGAAGACCTAGCAGTCGACATTTGGTTCGGGCACGATTGGAACACAAGTGCATGAAAGTGGACGAGGTTCTGGACAGCATAGCAAAGGCACTTAAACATCTGGCAGTTACTCATCTTGTGGAAACTACATTAGTACCTGACTTCAACAAAATGTATGAGTTATACGATCCGTGGACTGTGTTCTTTTATTTCAGTGACAAGCACATCAGGATTGGCCTGGGTACTGGCAACAACCAGATGAACCGGCCAAGGAAGACAAGCAGGAGATAACCAACTTCATGGAGATTGTGTACCTACTGAGGCGCCCAGAAAGGCTGGCCTGCTCATGTCCCTGAAGGACTGACTGCTCCACAAAGTACAGATACTGAACGCTTGTCCCAGGTTCGATGTGCTGTGCTGTGGACTCATGTTCACGTGATGGAGATGTCTGGAACTCTCAAAACCCTTTGAGGAAGTGTTTGGAGTTGGCCTGGCACTGTACTTTTATCTTTGCAAATGTTGGTAAGTCTCTAGTTGAAGATAACAAATACATGGTGATGGGAACAGTCAAAACAATCAAACAAACAAACAAAAGCTCTCTTCTTGACATCTCCAACTCCCAATGTCCCCAACTGGGCTCATCAGCTCCCCATTCTTAACCACCAGCTCCTACACTCTTCCCAAAGTAGTTCATAGCAAGTCCATCTGCTATGGTCTATGTCTCTTCTCTTTCTCTCCTACCCGACCTCCAATTTTTCAGAAAATTCTGCCTTTTCCTTCAAAACACATGCAAAACCCAACCACTTATTTTCATATTCACTGCAACCACCCTGGTGCAAGACACCATCACCTTCTACCCTCAGGATCATTATAATTGCCTAGAATCTTCAGTCCTTACTCTAAGACAGTGATGGTGAACCTATGACACGCGTGTCAGAGGTGACACGCAAACTTTATTTTGGTTCATTTTTCTTTGTTAAATGGCATTTAAATATATAAAATAAATATCAAAAATATAAATCTTTGTTTAATATGGTTGCAAATATAAAAAAAATTTCTATATGTGACATGGCACCAGAGTTAAGTTAGGGTTTTTCAAAATGCTGACACGCCGAGCTCAAAAGGTTCGCCATCACTGCTCTAAGACATTAAAATCCTTGACTTATGCTTAGGTTTGAAGGAGGCCTGAGGCAGGCAAGGAGAGAGAAATACAGCAATTCTTTCTTAGTTCCCTGCCCACGCCCCAAATTCTGGGATTCGAATCGTTCCGCCACTTATCTTTCCGCCCCTACAGGCACTGCTCCCTCCACCCCTGAAC